TCATAGGGTGGCAATTTTCATTTTGAGAAGTAACAAGAAAGTACAAGTTTATGATAAAACCAATAAAGTATTTTTAAATGCATGGCAAAAATAAGTTTCAATAACCCAAAATAGGCAAGCAAACTCAAACCCAGAGCCAACAAATAAATTTGGACTCCTAGTGACCCTATACGGGCTTTCCAAGATTGTAGATCTTTATGAGTAAAGAACCTCATCTTTTTCCTGCAAGGCAGCTCGTGAGTTTGAACCACGGACTTTGTGGTTAGCAGCCAAAAGCTTTACAAGCCAGCGCCATTGGGGCTCCTTTAAAGTCGTTCAAGATAAGGGAATCTGCAGAGTTTAATACAATGTTAACTCTTCCTCAAATTAATAAATCTTGGCAGTAAGCAATACATTTAGTCATCTCTTGCATTGTTTTAACTTTCAGCATTTTCTTTTTTTATACCAAGCCTTGTTTTCCATAGCAACATAACTGACCTCCAAAATTAGCCTGAGGCGAATGGCATGATAATAAAAATTCTAGAGAACCTGCAAATTTCTCACTTGAGAAGTTTGCCAGAGAAAGGGCAAGTAAAGTGTCAACTGAAGGGATAAAAAAAGTGGGTAAAGCTGAGCCTCATCTTCCCTGTGGCCTTCTTTCAAATGGCACTGTCTTAAGAAGGCCTTATTTTCCTTTAAAAGTCAGTACAACAAATGCTTATTAAACACCTATCTTTCTGTGTTGGAGGAAGCACGGCCAGAATGCTCCTGAGGGGGGAGGATGGTGCGATCTGTCTCTGAACTTTGGACCAGTTAATCAGGAGAGACCAGTTCCTGCAGAGGGACATCATGCTTGCTGAGGAAGAGAGAGGGTCAGTGAAAATGTTGCCAAAGTGGCTGCAACCACTGGCTCCACTTTATGCGGGACTGAAATGGCATAGACCCGCCAGTGTTTCATTCAGTTCTATATGGGTTGCTAGGAGTTGGGGAAAATGAGGCTGTGTGCTCTAGTAAAGCTTTACAGCCTCGAAGACCCTGTATAGGGTTTCCGTGAGTCCTAATGGAGTAGATGGTAGTGTGTTTGTTTGTTTAACACGGAAGCTATAGAAATGAGATAACCTCTACGGAATGATGGTTCAACTCAAACCTAGATTTCAAGTCTTTAAAAACCAAAACTGAGTGCAAGATATGACGAAATAATAATTTATAAATTATAAAGGGTTCATGACGGATGGGGGAGCGGGGAGCAAGGGGCAAAAATGAGGAGCTGATGCCAGGGGCTTA